CCGAGACAACAAGGTGCAGGGCTGGATGAACACAGCAGGCCAAGCAGATGCTGCTTGGCCTGCTGTGTTCATCCAGCCCTGCACCTTGTTGTCTTGTATGCCTTTGCAATCAGGCTGGAAGAACAATGGGAGAAATGTAAGGTCACCACCAGCTGCACTTAAGTTCACTGCACTTGTTTGTCACCAAGATAGTCTTAGGCTACAGCTTCACCTGCGTGCCTGACAATTCTATTTCAGCATAAAGATTCATGTAAAAAAATAATCTGCACTTATACATATGCAAACAACTGCAGGTTACTCAAAGAAAATGGAACAAGATGCATGCACTAATATTTTAAAAAAATTAATTAGACTCTGGTTTTGCTTGTTTTAAGGGCTGATGTGGTGCTAATAAAAAGACTCCAGCCTTCAACAGGGCTAATTACCAATTATTTTTCTCATTCATCGCTGTGATGCTAAACATCTTGACACACTGGCATATGCTGGGACATGTTTAGTGCCATGTTTCACACTCAGTTTCATATTGAAAATCCTCTAGTTTCTAACAATAGAGGATTGTAGCTGTGGTGTGAGAGCCCAGAGGGCGCAGATGTAGGGTAGATTCAGGATATTCATTACAGTACCAGTACAGCAACTCAAATGGTAACTGTTAATTAGCCAGCTCCGGAAAGCTTTGTGGAACTGACTGATTCTGCTTTGGAGAATGCAGTGTGAATATGTTCAGCAAAACCTTTCAGGATTAAAATTACAAAGTAAACATCCTGATATTACAACAGGGCCGAACCACAATTTAAAACTACTTCATTGGCTCTAAGATAACACAGTGTAGAGCTGGAGGAACACAGCAAGTTAGGCAGCATCAGAGGAGCTGAAAGATTTTCTGAAGAAGGGTCCCGACCCGAAACGTCAGCTTTCTTGCTCCTCTGATGCTGCCTGGCCTGCTGTGTTCCTCCAGCTCCACACTGTGTTATCTTAGACTCCAGCATCGGCAGTTCTTACTATCTCTTCATTGACTGTAAAGTGCTTTGGGACATCCTGAAGACATTAAAGAAACTTTAGAAATGCAAGTTAGGTCTGTCATAATATGGCACAGGAGCACTTTTGAAAGGGCAAAGAAAAGACATGCCCATTATTACAATAGGAAAATAACTTGCAATTGTTTAGCTCAGTTGGCTGAAAGGCTGCTTTGTAAAGTACACTGATGGAATAGCATGGATTCAATTCCTGAACTAGCTGAGGTCACCGTGAAGCCCTGCCTGCTGAACCTTGCCCATGAATCTTCAGGGGGACACAGTCAGACACATGCAAAATCCAAATGGACATTTCTTCAATAATACATCTAATGCTGGAAATCTGAAATGAAAACAGAAAATGCCAAAAATATTCAGCAGGTCTGGTAGCATTTGGAGCAAAAAAGCGTTATCATTTCAGGATAGACTTTCATCAGAACTGTTCCAGTCACTTGTGACATTCACAGCTATTAGGGTTGCACAAATACCATTTTGTTCACTATTGTAACACCTAAAGGCTCGCAGTTCCCAGTGCCGATGAATCATAGAAACCCAGGAACAAGAGTCATCCTTTCAGCACTTTGAATCTGTTCTGCACCTCAGTTTACCTAAAGTCACCAGGAAGTAGGATTCCACACATCCCCTGTTCAATTACATTCTTGATCATTAGATCTAGTGGCAATGGCGACATTTTAAAGGTGTATTTGGCTCAAATAGCTGTAAAGGACCATGCATAAGATGCTGCCATTTTATCATAGAATTAACCGAGGTGGGTAGGGATGTTTGAGTTCAGATGCAAGTATGTAACCAAGCGGTAAGCAAATCTGGAATTATACGCAAAATCAGTAATACACTACCGTTAAATATCAATGTCTTCTTTTCCATTGAGGTGCAGGATCAATTAACGCAATGGAGCTTTTGAAAGCCACATAACCAACAAATGTCAAGCCTCACTGGATCATCTGGGAATGAATCAATTAAACTCCTGAAACTACTAGCTACAGACATATAAAACAGAAGGGAAGCAATGGAAGTCACAAATGCATACATGAATGTTGTAGGACTTCACAGGAAGCTGGACTTTCAATCCTGTTCCTGTCTAATTTCAGAGAATGCTTCGAACGTTGGAGTTCAGGGATTGGGTTGTCAAGTCATTCTGCTGGGTCCCTACACCCTCAGGATTACACAACAGATGCGAATTGGAACACAGAAGTTATCTGCTTGTCCATGGGCAGGCATGTTTAAGCAGGTGCATTTAAAACAGATATTAAAAATGGATGAGATTCACCCAATGAATTTTTAACCATGTAATAACTGAGCAATGCACTTCCACTCTTGGTCTCCAACATTGCATAGTAGGTGATGAGGAAAGAATGCCAAGATTTTAATATCCATATTGATTGGTTAAGAATAATTATGAAGTGTTTCTTGGTGCCTCACAAAAGCATTATCAGGTACGATGAGCAGGAAGTTCTCTGTGGGTTTGTGAACCCCAGGTATCAAGATCGAGGTCGGGGGGTGGGGGGTGTGGTCACATGCATGCACTGTGTTGGAAACAGTCACTCAATGTGATTTGTCCCAGAGTGGCCAATAAATGGCCAGACTGTAGGTGCACTGTCCAATTAAGGACTGTGGGAAGGCTTTTGAAGCTGGAAAGCCAATTGGAGGACATCCAGCTTGAAAACAGCAACAGAATGCAATAGAGAGTAAACTGTTAAACAGCTAAATTGACTCCCGCTGTCTGTGGGAACCTGGAAGAGAACTGGAATGGTCTAGTTGGGGAATTGGCATGCCAGCTCTATTTTTTAGCACTTGCCTGCTTCCCTTCCCTGCCTCAATGGGAATAAAATTCAACCAAAGGGACACCAAAAACATAATAAGATATTAGGTTGGCTGATTTAATAATTGCTCAAAGGGGTAAGTCTAAGGAGTATTTTACAGGAGCAGAGAGAGAAGCAGAGATTGAAAGAAGGAACTCCAGAGATTCCCAAACATTTGCCTGCTGTGAATCCATTTCGAAGTTTGAAAATCATTGTGGTGGTTTGGCAGGGGGTAGGGATGAGAAGGACGGTGTCATGTTGATATAAGAGTGGTGGGCCTTGTTAGAGAAGGGCCACAGCTGCTATAACTCAATGTTCCACAGCAACCATTACTGCCTCAGAGCTCGTAACTCCAAAATATCAGCTTGTAAACCCACTGGAGTCCTGACCCCAACTTTAGGAAACCCCAGTTTAGGGATTAGTTGCTAAAAGATAAACTGCTGAATGGTCAAGTTTAGGGATGGAGGATGAAAGAGTTATCTGAGAGTGAGAGGAGTTAAATAAACACCTATAATTTGACTGCCATGCCTAACTTGTTTATTCATATTCTGATTAATATACTGAAAATGTCCTCAGCTCCTGATGATTTATGGGTGAAAGCAACTCTTCTTGAACTGTACAGACTGGAAACATGTAAGATTGATTCTCAAAAATTTTTCAATTTCGTCAGAATGAGGCATTACAATTGATCTTGGTGACTGGCTTAGTCCTCACTCCAGTTGCTATCCAAGAAACCTTATGTGAACCGTGAGTGAAATTATCTGCTGACTTGGCTGTGATGGCGAAGATCTGCTTACATTCTCTAGATTCACACATAAACAACATGTCATTTTGGGAAGGTGATGCAGGGTCCTTGGCACAACCGAAACTGGAGCCTGGACCGGGGCCTGGCAGTAACCATTTTTCAAGTTTTCTTAACTCTTATCACGCAATGAGCCGTGTGTATTTCAGCTTAGAACAAACAATAAGCAACACATGTTTCCGCTCTTACCGTGTAATGAATCATGTGCATTTCAGCTGTTACCTTGCAATGAGCCATGTGTTCTTCGAGTTATTGGAAGAAAATCCAGTTTAGTTTCATTCATAGAGCTGTCTGTGGTAATTCCAGATCTACTTGATTCAGCGCTGTTAACCACTTTGTCAGGTTCTGGCACATATTCCATCAGGGGATAATTGATGGCATTGTAACCACTGCATGAACAGAAAACAAGAGTTTGATGTCTTCATCACATCCAGTTCTGGGAGCACTAACACCCTCTCCCCTCCCAAATGAAGGCATCACTGACTAATTGCCCTGGTAGTGAGCTGCTTTCTGACGCTGCACCAGAACTTTTGGTGGTGGTGGAAAATTGGTTAGACGTGCTGTATTTGCCAGGTGTCAACAGGCCCTCAAGACACAAATGGGATCAGACAATCATGGAGGCCAATGCTAGGAGTCTAACCCCGAGGAGTCTAGCCCCAGTGCGAGGTGTTGCGTTTTGGTAAGACAGACCAGGGTAGGCCTTATACAGTTAATGGTAGGGGAGCGTTGTCGAACAGAGAGGGGTAGAGGTGCAGGTACACAGTTCCTTGAAAGGGGACTCATCATTAGATAGGATGGTGAAGGCATTTGGCATGCTTGTCTTCACTGGTCAGAGCACTGAGTACAGTAGTTGGAACATTATATCACGGTTGTACAAGACATTTGTAAAGCCACATTTCGAGTACCATGTACAAATCTGGTCACCTGCTTATAAGAAGGATGCTATTAAACTGGAAAAGGTACAAAAAAGATTTACAAGGATGTTACTGAGGTTGGAGCGCTTGCGTTATAAGGAGAGGCTGGATAGGTTGGGACATCTTTCCCTGTAGCGTAGGAGGCTGAGGGGTGACTTTACAGAGGTTTACAAGATCATGAGGGGCATAGATAAGGTAAATTGCCAAGGTCTTTTCCCCAGAGTAGGGGAGTCCAAAACTGAAGGGCATAGGTTTAAAGTGAGGGGGGAAAGATTTAAAAGGGATCTGAGGAGCAACTTTTTCACACAAAAGGTGGTGTGAATATGGAATGAGCTGTAAGAGGAAGTGGTAGAGGCAGGTACAATTATAACATTTAAAAGACATTTGGGCACGTTGATGAATAGGAAATGTTTAGAGGGATATGGGCCAAACACAGGCAAATGGAAGTAGTTCAGTGTAGGAAACCTGGTTGGCATGAACTAGTAGGGTGTTTCTGTGCTGTTTCACTCTAATAGCTGAATGTGGTGCACAAAATGTTAATACATTGTAACCCACCTATACTCATCATCAGTCTCAATTGCAGCTCAATCTCCACACACCCATTACTTACATAGTTAACAATCGCTATCTATCAGAACTCATTCCTGACATGTGCTCCATTTCACCTTTATACACTTAGGCTGCTGGAAGCCTCACAGCCATATCTCCCAGGCTGCACACACTGTCAGCCATTCAAACATGTCAGCCAAGCTAATCAAACAGATTTCACAACACTCACTGACACACTTCTCTGTCTCTCTTTTGCATTACTAGGAAGTACAAGGTGATGCAATTAGAGCAACAACAGCTAATTCAGAGGGGGGCATCCACACCCGCACCTTTTAACTCCCATACAGGAGACAGTACTGGTCTTTAATGGAATGGGCAAGGAATTCCCTAATTCCCCTTCTCACATTCTTCCACCTCATCCCATAATCTCTTCTTGTTTACAAGGTGTAGATGATGTGAGCACTTATTATTTTGTTTCTTTTCCTTAATATAAATTTACCACTATGTCTGTCCCCTTTCAAATATACCAGAAGTCCAACTTGGCCAGACAGTGGCACAATAGAAAAAAAGGCAATTTTCACAAAAACCTATCGTCATTCAACATTACAAGCAAGCTACCAGTTCAGGTATTCACACTGGGTGTGATTTGAAATTTAGGATAGAGATTGGATCTGCAAGTGGTAAGACACTTGGCACAAGGGGTCTTTGGTCAGGGCAAGGACAGGAAAAGCAAAGATGTGAGAACACAAGAAAAAAAAGGATCAAGAGTAGACCATATGCCTATTGATTCAGAGATAGAAGGAACTGCAGATGCTGGAGAATCTGAGATAACAAGGTGTAGAAGCTGGATGAACACAGCACGGCAAGCAGCATCAGAGGAGAAGGAAAGCTGACGTTTCGGGCCTTCTGAAGAAGGGTCTAGGCCCGAAACGTCAGCTTTCCTGCTCCTCTGATGCTGCTTGGCCTGCTGTGTTCATCCAGCTCTACACTTTGTTATCTCATATGCCTATTGAGACTGTTTCACCATTTAAAATAATTAAATCTGATTCAACTCCACTTTCCTGACTGTTCCAATATCTCTTGATTATTGAGACACCAAAAATCGATAGCAGGTTACATGTACTGAATGATGGGGCATCCACAATGCACTGCAACAGAAAATTCCAAAGATTCACAACTCTTTGAGAGAAGAACTTTCTCCCTATCTCAGTCCTAAGTGATTAGCTCTTTATATTGATAGCATGTCCCTGTGTTTTAGATTTTCTGACCAGTAGAAACAATCTCTCAGCATCCACCTATTGAGGCTCTTCAGAATCCTGTAAGTTTCAGCACGCCAGAGGGTGAGGTCACACAAGTCCTGGTGCAGAGAATTCAGATGACGGCATCAATACAGCACGTTCACAGATGAAGAAGGTTCATGGCTATGCATAATGAAATACTTTGTGACCTGCCAGCAAGTCTGGATTCAGTGCAAAGGAGCATGGCAGAGTCCGGCACCAATTTTGCACAGGATTTTAAGCAGAGCTGGGAGCTCGTTCTTTCCAGCTCGAAGTGGTGGCTAACTCTACTGGCACATATGTGAATCCAATTGTGACGAAGGACAGGTGTCCCAGCCTTCAGTAGAGTACAAACAGTTTACACCTGAGGTCTGAATACAACAGTGGAAGCTCAAACAAAAGTTATGCAGGACCAGCTTGGGTTCAATTCCCACACTGGCTGAAGTTGCCACGAAGGACTGTTTTTCAACCTCTCCGCTTGCCTGAGGCATGGTGACTCTCTGGTTAAACCTCCACCATTTCTCTCTATTGAGAGAGCAACCCTATGGTCCACTCAGACTATGGCAACTTTAGCTTTTTACCATTAAGAAGGAAAAGGACAGCGGATACATGGGAACACCACAATCTGGAAATGTATCACCATTCCTTAGTATTGTTGGGTCACAATCCTGGAGATCCTTTCTTAATGGCATTATTGGTCTACTTACAGCACATGGACTGCAGTAGTTCAATAAAGTAGCTCACCATCACCTTCTCAAGGGCAACTAGAGGTGGCCAGCCAGTGATGCTATATCCAGGAGTGAATAAAAAAATAGGTCCAGCACCAAAAATTAGGTCACAGAAGAATCTCAACTGTAATGTGTAGTTCATGGGGCTATTTACATGGATTCTCCATCAGGGAAAGAGTCAAAAACATATTGTATCAAAAGCTGTGTTCTTTGGAGTTGAAGGTTCTTTTAATTTGTCCGGTAGATAGGTGCATCAAATCATATCAGAGTCTTGGTATGTGATGCATTAACTAACGTAAAACAGACAGCAGTACCTGGGCTTCAATTGGTCTCACAGACATGGACTAAGGGAGAAAAGGAATTAACTAAGGCTGCTGACCACCATCTGGTGCAGGATTCACAAACTTTATGTCAAAAACTCTGAAGCAGCAATGGTGAATGTCAAGTGTAGATTCTGGTGGGACTGGAGGTGAGGTTTCCATTTATGTGTGTGGACAATTCTTAGCCCACCAGAATCTACAGAACGGTTATGGAAAGAATAATCGATCCCTGCTCAACAACTCTCCATGCCTCACAACTTTCACCCAGCCCTGTCCAACAGCTGTTCCCAGTTCCTGCTCAACAACTCTCCCTCAACATCTCCCATAACTCACCCAGTTATTATCCTGGGATCGTAACAGTTTTTCAAAATTAAAATGGGATCACAGTAGCAAAATATTTGAGAAGCATTGATCTACTGAATCCCTCTGAAAAAAGTGCACATGTATATATGTATGTGTGCGTGCTCATATGTGCATGTTTTCAATAAAGCTATAGATATTCTTCGGAGTGAGGCACTGAACAGTGAACTACATGTCACACTTACTAGTCAGGTTCACATATGATGAATAGCAACTCTGAATTTTACTCCAATGACAAACCGGAGAGGAAATTAGGAATGTTTTATCAGCATTTAAATTAAGCATGTTTATATTATACCTTCACCTAGAACACTTACAATGGTGTTTCAAAAAGGGACTGTTCTAGATCCTCCAGGTCCAGGAATGTGTCACTGACATTTGGGGAGAGCTTAACATGCTTGACTCCTGCCCAGATCTGCAACACTCGCCCACTTTCAGCTAAAAGGAGACAGAAGCACATCATCATTAAAAGTACTGTCTTCCCCTTCAGTCCCTCTTCTATATACGAACCGATGACTAACCAGAGAGGCCTCAGCTCACAGTTTATGACCTATATTGCCCTGGCAACTTGACTTTGATTGTTCTTATAATTTTTGGCTGTTTAAATAGGACTGTACTCTCATTGCCAAATAAAGTTTCAATGAGAAAACCAGGTTCTGTTAGTATCAGCAACTTGAAATATTTGAGAATTAACGGAGAACATGGATTTAAACCTGATACATTGCCCATAAGGCTCAACGCTATGCACTAAGTGGCCCACAAAGACAAAAGTTTTGGACACTTCTGGTTTACATCTGAATTACATTATAGTCTCGGAGAGTATTACATGGCCATTCAAAAACTTAGAAAGGCAGCGTCTGTTTTCCAAAAGAGATCATACAATAAATAAGGCACTTTTTTTTCAGTTTTAGAATGTAGAAAAACAAAAAAATGATACTTTGTCCATCTCTCACTTTATTTTAAAATCCCCACATCATGGCAAAATGACCCGTTGTTTTATTCGTTCCAAAATCTACTGGAAATTTCATCCTTATTGTATCCTTTCTCAGGGCATTATCCCATACAGTAATATACTTCTGATAAAAGTAATTTATTTATTTTTAAATCCATTTTCTTCCTCCCTTGACAATACTAACTCTTGTTGGGATGCCTTGTCCAGTGCTGTTTTATCCTGAAAGGAATGCAACATAAATTTATTAGACTGATTCCTGTGATGAGGGGATTCTCTTATGAGAGACTCAGTAGACAAGGCCAATATTCCCTGGAATTCAGAAAAGTGACAGATAATTTAATTGAAACATAACACTCTCTAGGAGCTTGAAAGGGTAGATGCTCGGTGAATGTTTCTTCTGGCTGGGGATTCTAGAACCAGGAGTCACCATCTCAGAATTGGGGCTTTACCAATAAGATGAGGAGAATTTTTTTTCATTCACAGTGTTGTAAATCCTTGGGATTCCCTGCTTTAGAGTTCTCCATGATGCTCCATTATTGAGCATATACACGACAGGGATTGATAAATTTATAGGTGCTAAGGATGGAGTTGAAATAGATATTCAATATGATAATACTGAATTGTGGAGAAGACTTGAAAGGTTGTACAGCCTGCTCCGTATGTTCAAATTTTCATGACAGACCTTGTTGGTGGACTGCTGAGTTATGGGGTGGCATCACAGCTGAGTCTAATCCTGCCCTCAGCCCAACATGTAAATACACACACACTTCCCAGCAGGGGCTTAGAGTTGGAAGTTTGACTGTGTTTTACCTCCCTAAACCAAGATTGTTGAGACCAGTTGCAGCAAACCCTTCCACTGCCCTCAGCTGATATCAGTTAATACAACTAAAAAGAATGGAAAATACAAGGGTGATACATTTATTAACCTGACAACAAAAAGAAATCCACTATTTTTTACATATATTTTTGTTGGCATAGCAACAAGAAAGCAATAAATTCTTCTACACAGCTGGGATATAACATCTGTGCACTAGCAAGATTCTAGTGGATTTTTCAGTTTGAAGCCATCAGTCGAGTGTTTCCAGGTATCTGTTGTCACAACAATAGTCTCAAGTTATGACTGCTATTATATGGGCAACAGATGGGTCGGTCACCTGACCGCAAGCAGATTAACCAGGCATTTTATAACTTCCACAGTGAATGCTATAACATCAGAGAGCTGTGCCTGCCAAAAGGAAACATGAGAGAATCTGGCTGCCTTGCTTCTTCCTGAAGATAGCTGTGAGGGGAATACAGCTCGACCCACTTCCAAACATTTTGGCAAAAGAAGATCACTGGAGGGAGATTTTACTGCACTATTGAGTAACTCTCCTGGTTATCTAACTGAATGCTACAAAAACATTCTGCCCAAGCTACCCAACCTGATTCAAAGCTGTTAACACATATCATTGATGCTGGAATTATGCCTGCACCTGGAGATTGGCCATGTTATAGCTTAGGCGTAAAGAAAAATCAAAAAAGGATTTGTTAAATTTGATTTTTCACACCTAATTTTCTCCTCTCCCCCTGACGTTGCTGAGTCTGGCTGGGCTAATGCCTCATGGCCAACATTTGGTATCTCACCCACATGGCCACCCCTTTATGTAGGTCTCAAAAGTGAGTCACCACAGACTATCTGAACACACAGATAAATTGAGTTTTGTTTTCACTGAATGCCCACACAGCACTGTTTCCAGCATTTGACAGCAATCAGGTTTGACAAGTCTTGGTTGATTACTTTATCTCCTCCTTTCTGCTGTCTCAGGGACATGGATGCCAATTAGCTACTACCTCTGCTGCCCTGACTACCGGGGCCAAATTTCATCTTCAGGGCGATGGCTTTTCTAAATGACTTAGAATTGGTGCAAATCCCATCTGAGAGGTCAAATGCTAATAAGACTCAATTCTCCAAAGTGTGCTTATTTGCATAATTACTCATTACATAGTGCAGGCAGATGATGGGTCCAGGGAAGACACTGCTGTTAGAAGATGAAACTGTAAGCAAGTTAAATTTGAAGAAATGGGAACAACTTAAACTTGGAGCCAAAACCAAATAAAGACTATCATAAATTTGTTTTGTTTAGATAAAGTAGAGCTTTGCCGGCTGTAGCCAATCAAGTCAATAGTGGAAACAGCTCATGAATTCACTTCCTCCTTTTCTCCATGCCTCAGGGAAAGCTTCCCATCATCCCATCCTATAAAACTTAACTGAGTTCAGCATGTGAGAAATATCTTTGGAGATACCACTTCGTCGCACAGAAGTGTTTATCTTGGTCAGTGTGGCATAGGTCAACACTGGATAAAATGATGAGAGTTGTGAGAAGCAACAGTTTCTATTATTTCAAGTTGGACAAGCAGAATTCCATAGTGATCCCATCTCTTTGGATCCTACTCTCTGTATAAGCAAAGCAGATTATCATAAGCACACAGGGAGATCTGTCTCTACAGGCACCATTTGCAAGCTCTAACTCTGTAAAGTTGGACAAATGCCAGTCCAAAGTAAAGGCTGTTTCTGAAGGCATCATTTATTGTCTCATCTCTGTAACAAAACAGAACATGCACCAGTTTATAGCAGCATGTCTCTGAGAGTCCCACTTATGCTCCTTTTGCAATTTTAAAAATCTTTTCCTCAAATTACACTCCCTGTCTTCATTTTCCTCCAATATTTTATATTTTACATTTCCTTTTATTTTCATTTTTTTGACACTGCTCTGTTTTCATATTTCTATTAATCACCAAATTATTCTTTGTTTTACTGACACAGATTCCTGCTTTTTCTAGTTCCTTTTATGAGTTTCTCTTTCTCCAAGCGCTGAGTCTGCTTTTATTTTATTCATCTATTTTTCCCTCACTTTCTTTTCTAACTGTCTGTCTCTCAGGCCCCACAAAATGGCAAATGCAAACCAAATGTGTCAGCTTTAATCTGTTGGTTTTGAGTCAACGCATTGTTGTGTTATCAGCTTCTTTGGTTCCAACTGCCAAGTGCAAAAATGAATCTTATTTGCTCATTCAATTTTCTTCCCTTTTCCTTTCTGACATATACAATCTTACCCAGGCAGCTACTTTCCTTATGCGAGCCTTCACAATAATTGCTAACATCATTCCAGCATGGGATCATCATACTGGACTGGATCTTATCCTTATCTGATACTCAAACACACAATCTTTCCAGTTTGAGTTTCCAGCACACAGTCTAGGTCATGTGTTTGGGTCTGTATTGCTCAGTTTCATACCAGACAGTGTGCCAACTATGGAAGAAATCATGTCTATTTATTGTGAATTAGTTTCTGAGTCAGGGTATTAGTCGGCCCAGTTCAACAGTCAGTAGAAAGTGGGCATGATCAGTCTGCATGTATCCGCAAACTGAACACCACTCTGCATATTGTAAATCAGCTATTGGGCAGAATAATACAAAGTCAGATTGGCATCAAGTCCTTACAGTGCTTTCAAATTTGTGAGCATTTGTAGGAAATATTTCCATTGCCTGACAGTTTGTTCCTTCCAAAAATTAGCCTTTTTGTTGCCAGCCAGCCAGCTTGTCAGCTTGGGTTTGCTTTGGATCAGTTTTGCTAGAGGGAAACCAGTGTTGCAACTGACAGGTCCTAGCCATTAGCAAGCATTTGCTGTCCATGAAATAAATTAAATTGGAGTGTTGCTCTTTCAGGTACCCTTTGCGCATTTAAAAGATGTGAAATTGGGTCATCTGCTGCAGGCTGTCGTGCATGACAGCTACTGATGCATATTCCGGTAAAAGGGAAAAAGTGACTAGTTCTAAAATTTCCAGAAAAATATTCCGGTGGAGTTTTAAACATTTTTCTGCATGTTATTAAAGACTGAACAAGGCCTTGAAAACACATTGTATCATTGGTACTGAACCATACATTAATATCTGTTTTGGGGGCATAATGTTAATTTGTGCTGATAAATTTTATTTTCTCTGGACAACATGTTGTCCGTTGCACCTTATTCCAAATCATCTCTGGCCAGAGCTACATCATGTCCTCTATCATCAAGGTGCTCAATCTGCTAGGGTTTTGTTTCTCACCCAAGTGGTAATTCTTCATGTGCGAACTCAGGTAAGTAGTGTTGCCAGTCAATAAAACTGGGAAGTCGGGTGGGGGCAGGAGGCTGGGTGGATGGGGATGGGGCGGTGGCGCTATAGTTGTATCGATTTCACGGAACGACATGGAGAAGATGCATCAGGCTTAAGCCTAATCCTAGTTCTTGCCTAACACTTAAACCTTTGCCCTTTCCCATCGGGCCAAATTGAACAGTGCAGCTGTTACTCAACACGGATTAACCAATTGCGCACATTGACCAGATGACAATGTCAAGAAGAGCTTTCAAGCCTGCATGATTTAGTTTAATGACAGACAGCGCATATGTCCACCAAACTACTAGGGTAGCAGTAAGTCTCAGGTGATGTTTGCCTCTGGTTTCTAGGAGTCCTATAATTATGATAATGGAAAACCCTTACCTTTCACTAGCTCGCCTTTGTTGTTTTGGAGCTGAACTTCAATGGTGAAAGGACAGCCTTGCATCACCTCCCGTATTTCTTCACCGAGTATCACCAGCTTACTGGCTTCAGCTTTTCCCAAAAGCAGACAAATTACATTATTTAAAAGATATTGTTAGTCATGCACTACAAGCTGAATAACACTAGTAACAGGGTCTCCAACCACAGACTAATTAATTAATTTTGTGAGGAATAGAATGTTATTTTACATTGTGAACTCCGCATTCAATGTGGAAAAAGTTCTCAGCACTCCACATAATAAATCACTGCACAGCCACATTCAACAAAACAAAATGAATGCTGAACTGTAGTCAGAAAGAAAGGATACAAGCCAAAGTAATGTTCAAAAAGTAGTGATTAGGTCAGACCACACCTTGAGTACTGTAGATGTTTCTGGTCACTGAGACACAAGGGAGATATTTAGAGAAGAACCGCCAGAGATGAAATACAATAATACAATACAAAAATGCTTTGTCTTATTACTGAATTCATTATAAGTAACAATCTTTCCCCAGCCAACTGTTCTAACCCAATTTTTACTCTTTTTAGTGCCACATTTTCTTCTATTTCCCTTAAAGACAGTGACTCTTGCTGGAATACATATCAATAGGCAGCTGCACAATAACCATTTCTTATGTATAATAATTAACAGTAAGTATGAATTGGGGAAGCTATTCCACCACTAAATGCATCCCAGGCAATTTTGATTGAATTTTCACCTATTGTCCGCACATCTATACTTTCAGCTGGGTTTGGGTCTGGGAACTCTGCCTGATACAGACAATGGAAGCAGAGTCATCCTCAAGAGTGTTTCATAAAGACCTGGTTCTGAGACTATGTCTCTAATTTCTAGACTCCCCAGTCTAAAGAAACAACCTGTCAGTATATACTGTCAAGTCTTAGTGAGAATTTTACTGTGGAGAAGGCTATGGAAGATAGAGAACATGGGGAAATAATTAGTGACATTTTGAAAAATGTCCATATTAAGAGGAGGAGGTGCTGAACGTCTTAAAATGCATAAAGATGGATGAAGTCTGGGATCTGATCAGATGTACCCTAGGACTTTGTGGGAAGCTAGGGAAGTGATTGCTGGACCCCTTGCTGAGATATTGGTATCATCAATAGCCACAGGTGAGGTGCCAGGAGACTGGAGGTTGGCTAACATTGTGCCACAATTTAAGAAAGGTGGTAAGGAAAAGCCAGGGAACTATAGACCGGTGAGCCCTATCCTGAGGGATAGGATTTACATGTATTTGGAAAGGCAAGGACTCATTAGGGATAGTCTACATGGCTTTGTGCGTGGGAAATCATGTCTCACTAACTTGATTGAGATTTTTGAAGAAGTAACAAAGAGAACTGATGAGGGCAGAGCGGTGGATGTGATCTATATGGACTTTAGTAAGGCTTTCAATAAGGTTCTTCATGGTAGACTGGTTAGCAAGGTAAGATCACATAGAGTACAGGGAGAACTAGCTATTTGGATACAGAACTGGCTGAAAGGGAGAAGTCAGAGGGTGGTGGTGGACGATTGCTTTTCAGACTGGAGGCCTGTGACCAGTGATGTGCCACAAGATTCGGTGCTGAGTCCGGTGTTTTTTGTCATTTATATAAATGATTTGGACGTGAACATAGGACGTATGGTTAGCAAGTTTGCAGATGACACCAAAATTGGAGGTGTAGTAGACAGCGAAGAAGGTTACCTTAGAGTACAATGGGATCCTGATCAGATGGGCCAATAGACAAAGGAATGGCAGATGGAATTTAACTTGGATAAATGTGAAGTGCTGCATTTTGGAAAGGCAAATTAGGGCAGGACCTATAGACTTTTGGTAAGGTCCTGGGGAGTGTTGCTGAACAAAGAGACCTTGGAGTTCAGGTTCATAGTTCCTTGAAAGTGGAGTCACAGGTAAACGGTATAGTGAAGAAGACATTTGGTACGTTTGCCTTTATTGGTCAGTATATTGAGGATAGGAGTTGGAAGGTCATGTTGCAGCTTTACAGGACATTGGTAAGGCCACTTTTGGAGTACTGCATTCAATTCTGGTCTCCATCTTATAGGAAGGATGTTGTGAAACTAGAAAGGGTTCAGAAAAGATTTACAAGGATGTTGAGGTAACACGGTGTGGAGCTGGAGGAACACAGTAGGCCAGGCAGCATCAGAGGAGCAGGAAAGTTGATGTTTTGGGTCAGGACCCTCCTTCAGAAAAAAGAAGGGTCCCGACTTGAAACGTCAACTTACCTGCTCCTCTGATGCTGCCTGGCCTGCTGTATTCCTCCAGCTCCACACTGTGTTATCTCTGACTCCAGCATCAGCAGTTCTTACTATCCCTTTACGAGGATGTTGCTGGGCTTGGAGGGCTTGAGCTGTAGGGAGAGGATGAATAGGCTGGGGCTATTTTCCCTGAAGCGTCGGAGGCTGAGGGGTGACCTTATAGAGGTTTATAAAATCATGAAAGGCATGGATAGGGTAAATAGACAAGGTCTTTTCCCTGGGGTGGGGGAATCCAAAACTAGAAGGCAAAGGCTTAAGGTAAGAGGAGAAAGATTTAAAAGGGACCTAAAGGACAACTTTTTCACGCAGAGGGTGCTGCGTGTATGGAATGAGCTGCCAGAGGAAGTGGTGAAGGCTGGTATGATTACAACATTTAAAAGCTATCTGGATGGGTATATGAATAGGAGGGGTTTAGAGGGAAATGGGCCAAATGCTGGAAAATTGGGCTAGATTCATGTAGGATCTCTGATTGGCATGGACGGGTTGGTCTGTTTCCGTGCTGTATATCTCTCTGACTCTATCGCCTGCTGTTATGATACTGGACTAGCAAACCAGTAGTCTGGAATTCAAATCTTCAATTCAGTAAATCTGGGTATTTCATTACCAGTATCAGAGAATGGATCTGTCACCTCATATTGTAGTTCCAGACCTGGACCGCATGGGGGTTCACTCTTAATGTTCTCTGAAATGACCCATCAAGCCAAAGGTCAATAATCATAGAATCATAGAACCCCTACAGTTTGGAAGCAGACCATTCAGTCCATCAAGTTCACACTGGCCTTCCACATCCCAACCCTATCCTTGTAACCCTGCATATCCCTGGGCACTATGGGCAATTTAGCATGGTCAATCAACCTAACCTGCACATCTTCAGACCGTGGGAGGAAAGCAGAGTACCCAGAGGAAACCCAAGCAGACACGGGGGGAATGTGCCAACTCCACACCAACAGTCACCCATGACTGGAATTGAACCTGGGTCCCTGGTGCTGTGAGGCAGCAATGTTAGCCACTGTGCCACTCAGCAGCCTTAACAATATTATCCATGTTCTGTACAAACAGTAAAGACAATGGCTATCAAGAGGAAATATACCTTAACAAAAATGATGCAATCTCACCACCAACAAAATATCAAATGTCTGGGATGCTTACAAGTAGTTGCTGTGCTAAAATATAGAGGAAACAGGACCATTTGATTACAAGCAGTGACCATTGAAATATCCATTAGAAAAAACACATGATTGCATGCCCTCTAAATTTCCATTAGATCTTAACCTCTTAGTACCCTACATCACGGAAACAACACGAGTTACATGATTGTTAATCAATGACTGTGTTATCAGTGTGACATATGCAATTGGTATTGCAGTCTGAAGGGTACACACCGGCAGGACGACCATTAATCCATATTCCATCATAAATGACTCCACTGCAATGAATCATGGAGCCTTGTCCATTAAACAGGTCATTTCTCCACTGTCCCTGAAATGAAAGGAAAACATTTCAACCACTGTTTTGTTATCCATTAGCAACCATTGTATTCTGTCATTAACCAAAACCAATACCCCACACAGAAGAAAATTTTCCCCAGGATCATATCACCTCGACTGGAACGATATCCTTCATATAAACATATGCCGCACAGAACTACATTCCCCAGTATGGAGCAATATCCCCATTATAAGACAATATTCACCACATTATTGTAACACAACCACAAAACCATAATGTTACCACAAAATAATATTCTGCACAGAAACAAACCCTGCTCAGAATAATACCCTCAGTACAAAACCCTATTCTCCCCACTATAGAACCATATCCTCCAGAGAATCATTTGCCCCCACTATAATACCAAAGCTCCCCCATTATAGAACATATGCCATTATAGAACTATACATCCCGTAATAGTATCATATATCCACATTGTCGGAGCAGGGTAAAGGCATCATGCCACTGCATCTGGAGTGCTAGACCTTTGTTGTTGGCACTGATGCAATGTAAAGCAATTCCAGGTCCCTATCTTGATCAGTACAAATTCAACTGCTATACACAATCCTTTAAATTGTAGCAAGTATAAAGAGCGATCAGAAGATGTGTGAAAATTCCTCCCAGCTGCAAATAAGCAGAGTAGGCATTCAACAGGTCAGACCTGTCCTTCCCATTATCACCCTACCTCTTCTCTATCATCTAGTTCAAGCTGGTATCATGTGATCTCACTTCCAGCCACCAACCAGTTTCATCCCTCCCATCCACCAACCAAGTTGTACCTACTACCAGCATCCACCTATAACCACTATTCCGCTACTCCCCCCACCCACTCACCCACCCCCCCCCCCCCCTTAATCTGCAGCTCCACTTACCCCCACATCCAGTCCTAAAGAAGGGTAATACCCAAAACGTTGACTTCTCCTTTCCTCCAGATGCTGCCTGGCCTGCTGTGTTCTTCCAGCCTCCTGTTTGCCTACCTTGGATTCGAGCATCTGCAGTTTTTTTTGTCTCTAATTTAGTCGCAAAGCCACTGGATCACAATAGCCTCTTCAATCATATATTCCCTTTTTAATCTTTCAATAGGCTGCTTACAAAAAATGAATGCACCTCATTGGTCATGCTTCACTCTACCTTGTCTGGCTCCTGCCCAAAGATGAAAGAGTAGCACTGGAACATATTGTGCTACTTTGCCCCTGTGCACAAAACAAAAAATGATGGTTTCCAAAGAAACTTTGATAATAAATGGTATGCATGCAGCCGCTGTTTGTGCATCTTTTAACCCATGTAGGATGTTTGTGTACAGTCATTACAGTCAACCTGAAAATAACACCAGTTTGATTCCCGGAGGTATTCCTGAGACAGGGTCCTGGGAAATACAATGAATGTGTTTCTTCAAAGAGATTGGAATGTATGGGGAGCACATTCCAATCAACTTATTTCCTTAAAATTTCACAGGTGGAAGGATCTCTAAGAATCCCCACCTGTTCAGTGTAGTAAACAGCCATTGCTGATTGAGCAGGTGTGGAGAGCAAGGAAGGTCTCCTCTGGGAAAAATGACAGAATACAGGCAGCCAACAAATTCTCCATGTTCCAAACATTTGGAACAATCATTATAAAATCTCTGCTTTGGAATCTTCACCAAAATCTGACAGATGACAAGTACGCCTACAAAAGAACATAAGAAATAGGAGCACTAGAACACAATACAGCACATGAAGTCTGCTCCTTTGTTCACTAAGATCATAGCTGATTCCCAACCTCAAATTTGCTTTCTTGATTTATTCCCAAATCCCTTTCCTTTGTGCCATAAATCAATTAGTTTCAGTTTTGTATAAACCTAACAGCTGAGTAACCACTGCCCTCTGGGGTGGATAATTCCAAAGATTCACAAGCCTGAGTGAAGAATTGTCTCCTCGTCTCTGTTCAAAACGCTTATTCCCCTGTTTTGAGATTGAATCTCTAATTTCTAGATTCTCCAGCCTAAAGAAACAACCTATGACAGTCTATACTGTCAAATCTTTGTGAGGATTTTATACATTTCAATGAGATCATGTCTCGTGCTCATAAATTGGAGAGAATATAGATCTATTCTATTCAATCTTCCCTCATTCAAGGCATCAATCTAGTGACCCCTTGTTGCAACCCCTCCAAGGTAAGTATATTCTTCCTTAGTTTGGAAACCAAACTTTCAGTTTTCCAGGTATTGTCTGAACAAAGTCTATGTAATTGCAGGAGGTCTGATAATTGTTATACTCCAACCTCTTTGCACTGAAAGCTAAAATAACATTTGCCTTCATAACCGCATGTCATACCTGCAGAATAACTATCTTCAGACCAATGCCAACACTGTGAATCAATTTAGATGTTTATGACAGCTTCCTTGTGCACACCAAAAGGGTAACTAGGGAGACAACAGGGATCCTTAAAGATCAGCAGGGCCACCTATGTGTGGAACTGCAGAAGATAGTCTCTCACCTTTTAGAAATGTTCTGGTTTTATTGTTGTTCCAGTAAAAGTAGATAATTTCCTGTTTACCCACATTGTAGTCCATCTCCCACCTTTTTATCATTCACTTCACATCTTTGCATTCCTTCGCAGCCTCATTCTATTGTCCATAAGGTTTACTTTCTCACTTAGCTTTGAATTATTAACAAACCTGGAAACATTACACTCTGTTCCCTCATGAAAGTAATTGATACAGATTGTTAATCGTTGTGTTCAAAGCAGCGGCCCTCATGGTACCTAGCAGTTATAACTGGCCAGCTGAAAATTTGCTTATTCCTTCTGATTCTTTTCTATCCATTAATCAATCAATCCTCAATCCAAGCAAATTAATTAACACCAAAAAAGGGCTGCACTTGTTAGTTTTCTGGCCCTAACCCATGCTATTAGATTCTATGGACTGCTCCTCTCCACTTAGTCACTCATCAGAATATAGTCCAATTACATCTCTGTCCCTCACAAGGACACACAGTCCCTCCATAAATCTTGTCCCTCACAGGACATTCAATCCCGTTAGAACTCTGTCCTTCACAAGGCCATAAAGTCCCCCTAACACTCTGTCCCTCACAAGGTCTTCAGTATCAATACATCTCTGCAAAATTCATTGCACTTATGTCCCGCGTAAGGCCACTTAGTCCCTCTAAAACTCTGTCCCTCATAAGGCCGTACAGTCCCTCTAGAACATTTTTTAAAAGAATTCCGACAGTGTGAAAACAGGCCATTTGGCCCAACTAGTCCACACCAACCCTCCGAAGACCATCCCACTCAGACGCATCCCCCCACCCTGTCCCTGCAACCCCGCATTTCCTATGTCTAACATACCCAACCTACACATCACTGAACACTATTGCAAATTTAGCATGGCCAATCTACCTAACTTCCATATATTTGGACTGTGGGAGGTAACCAGAGTATGGGACAGAAATCCACCCAGATACAGGAGGAGCATGCAAACTCTACGCAAACAGTTGCCCAAAGCTGGAATCAAACCCAGATCCCTGGCGCTGTGAGGCAGCAGTGCTGACCACTGAGCGACCATGCCGCCCAATCTTGTCCCTCACAAGGATACACAATCACTCGAGAACTCTGTCCTTCACAAGACCATAGTGGCGCTCTAGAACTCTGTCCCTTTCAAAGCTAGATAGTCCCTCTAGAACTTTGTCCCTCACAAGGACAATCAGTACCTATATACCTCTGCAATGTCCCTCACACTTAGGCCCCTCACGGGGCCATACAGTCCCTCTGGAACGCCGTCCCTCAGAGGACATTCAATCCCTTTCGAACTCTGTCCCTCACAAGGCCATACAGCTCCTGTAGAATTCTGTCCCTCACAAGGATGCACAATCCATCTAGAATATTAACTCTCACGAGACCATTCGGTTCCTCCAGACTCTGTCCCTCACAAGGCCATACAGTCCCGTTAGAACTCTGCCCTCACAGTACATTCAGCCCCTTAAGAACCCTGTCCCTCGTGATGCCATTCAGTCCCTGTAGAACTCTGACCCTCGTAGGGCCATACAGTCCCCCAGACCTCTCTCCCTCACAAGGCCATTCAGTCCCTCTAGAACTCTGTCCCTGACAAGGTCAAAAAGTCCCTCTAGAACTCTGTCCCTCACTAGGCCATACAATCCCTTTAGAACTCTGTCCTTCACAGGGGCATTCAGTACCCATACACCTCTGCAAAGACCCTTACATTTATATTCCTCACAAGGCCATACTGTCCCTCTAGAACTCTGCCCCTCACAAGGCCATACTGTCGTCTAGACCTCTGCCCTCACAAGGCCATACAGTTCCTCTAGAACTGTGTCCTTCATAAGGCCATACAGTCCCTCAAGCACTCTCTCCCTCACAAGGACATTCAGTACCTGTAACCTCTACAAGTACCTGCCTCTACAATTATGTCCCTCACAAGGACACACAGTCCTTCCAGAACTCTGTCCCTCAGAAGGCCATACAGCCCATCTAGAACTCTGTTCCTCACAACAACATTCAGTACCTGTACACATCTGCAAATTCCCTGAACACTTATGTTCCTCACAAGAATGTAAATTTCATTATCACCTCTGACCCTGACAAGTACCTGTAGTACCTCTAACACCTCAGTCTCTCATAAGGCCATACAGTCCCTCACAAGAATACACAATCCCTCTAGGACTCTGTCCCTTGTAAGGCCATACAGTCTCTCTAGAACATTTTTCATAGAATCTACACAGTATTTTTTTATAGAATCCACAACCAGGCCATTGGCCCAACAGGTCCATACCAACCCTCCGAAAAGCATCCAACACAGACACATCCCCCTACCCTATCCCCGGAACCCTGCATTTCCTATGTCTAATACACCCAACCTTCAACATCCCTGAACACTATTGGTAATTTAGCATGGTCAAAACACCTAACTTCGACATATTTGGACTGTGGGAGGTAACTGGAGAATGGGGCGGAAACCCACACAGATACAGGAGGAGCATGCAAACTCTACACAAACA